CATCTGGTAAGTTAGGATTATTGGCGTTTGAAAACATATTGGCAAGGACTGGTATAACTTCTGTTCGCAGAAATTGTGTATAACGTAAGATTTTCTTAAAAAAAAATAAGAATCAATAATTTTGTCATTAATTGTTCCGCTCAGACATTGATTTTGTGATTGTGTTGAGTATGACCTTCAGTCATCCAGTGAGGATTATCCTTACTCCAGTATCTGTAATTTTGACGATTGACTGAACCATTTAGGCAAAATAATTTGTTTAATAAAACGTGGATTGTGGTTACACAAACCCTGCAAAATATCACAAAACTGCATACGGCGATCAGGATCATCTTCGTTGAGTTCTTGATGTAACTGAATTTTGTACGGATGGTACTTTTCGTCTTTCATACGTAATCCCGAAAGTTGAGATATGCTTGTGTCCGCTGCAAGTATTGTGACGATAGTTTAATTTATTTATTGTTTATTTATTTAAAACACACTATTTACAATTTATTTATGACGTGCTTATTAATTTATATAATACTTAGGCACTAACTCACAATTCTAATTTATTTATTACAATTTATCTTTTCAGTCGAATACTTTATTCTAAATTACTCGTCCGTCGACGAACTTGCGCTATTTATACAAAGCCCACTTTGTAGTTGTAGTTTCTAGACGCTTTCGAATATCACCCGAAAATTCCATCTCTATGACTCAATGGCCACGTATTGCTTTTTCTGGTAGATTCGAGAAGCGGAGCGTTTGTCTCTATACGTCAGCGGTGTTTCGACCATGAGTCGAGTGGCTGGCTGAAGGTCGCGCTCTACAGGGACGGCTTAGGCATTCACATGACAGTATTATGAGGTTTATCTTCAACACTTAATACAACATCAAGTTTCACGTTTTCTGATACCTTAGGACATCCAGAATTTTGAATATTTTTAACATGACCAGTTTCTCTAAATTTTTTCTTATTTTTATTGACTGTTGGCCGGCTGATAGGTATGTCTGGATATTTTACATTAAACAAATCGCATACCTGTTGCTGAGTTCTCGTTTTATCTCCACATCCTATAAAAATAAATTTCTATGCGTTGAGTTTCACTTAAAGTAGCCATCATTTATTTTTAAAACTTTTTTACTTAAAATTTGGTGTATCTCACAGGCAACTTGATTTTTATCGATTCATAGCAACTTGATTTTTGACGATTAATTGCTCTTGTGTTTTTATGTATTTCTTTAGCTTTGTTCCTTTTTTTACTAAAAGATAAAGTTTATTGACCTAAAATATTGAACTACAACAGCTTATTGTTAATAATTTTTAACAGTAGTAGCAAATTCTCAAACTGAAAAATAAAATAAATTTTTATTCACTCCGTAAAAATAATAATTGACCAACTATGCTATTACTGAACTAAAAGACCTTTCAAATGAGGTATTACAAGACCCACATTTCAATTTAAAAAAATTAACGATTGCCTCACCACGTCAACACTGGTGACATCACCATATTAGCATATAATTTAAAAATTCGGCATTTAAAATTAAAAATTTATAAGAACTAAATTGTTTGCAAAATAATGAATTTGTTCCGTAATTTATCCGCGCACTGTATAAACTCGCATCTTAGAAGGCTGTAATATTGTTGGCAACACTCCTGACTATTTCGAACGGATTCGGCAATCCGTTAGACGTCAATTGGAAGCTTGCATTTTAGCTAGAGGTTGCACATTTTGAACATCTGCTTTGAAATGTACTACTTTTGTCATAATTATTGCAATGTTGTTATTTCTATTAAAATAATTTAGAAAATCAACATATTGTATCTCAATAACGACAAAAGTCTTATCACACATATTTATAACTTTTAGTCTAAAAATTGAATGACGTATGGCCCACAAAAATATTTCAGATTACTTTGGGGACACCCTGAGGAAATTGTCATGTTATTTTTATATGTTCTCTCTGAATCCGTAAATTGCCCACATATTCTGGGACACCCTGTATATTATAGTTATTCTCATCATTTGTATTGTAATTTATTATTTTAAGCTAAGAAATGTAACAATCTGAAGTTTGAATAAAACAGATTAATGTTATATATTGGTTGAGTAAAACCAAAAATGCCCATATTAAGAATGAGATTTAGGTAGGTAGGTAGGTAGGTACTTATGTAACATAAGTTGATAGATTTACGAGGGGTAGAGTAAAGCAATAAGTATAGCACTCACATAATACAAAATTACCATAAATAAAATTTATTAGAGAAATTAATAGAATTCGGTAACACTAACAAATAATAAAAAAAAACAAAATATCCCGTTCAAAGCCGCTACCTAAGTAATTTTATTTGAATCTGTGATTTATCCTTCATCACGCTACTCTAATTGGTTATCCACTTAAAAAATATATCCGGTCTTGAGTATATCTTGATTATATGAATTGTAAACATAACTTGAATTATTATTAGTAAACAGACAGAGTGCTTAAAGGCGATTGTTATTCTAAAGACCTTTTATGTAGTGAAACTCCCAACTGTTCGTCTGTTTACATTTTAATGTTCGGTGAGTTGTTTAACAAAATTCACATGTACTTTTTTTTAAATTCGTTATATGGTACTATAGTAAAACTAAACTCAATTGAAATTGTTGTTTTTACGACGACCATTCGTAGTTAAGTATCTCGGCAACCAAATTCCATGAATTATATTAATATATTTTTTCTTCCTTTCACAATTTGTCAATTAAATGTGAATTAAGTACCCGTTTATTTATGATGATCATTAATACACAGATTTTCATTAGTAAACTGATATAAATATACAATCAATAAAAATTAATAAATTACAATAATCTAGTAGGCTATGGTTTTATTTACCCTAAAAATTTTTGACATTTAAGGCGCTCCCTAATAAAAGTTTTATTTCTTGTTATAAAAGACTAATGGTAGGCGATATAAAATCGAAGAATTATAGGTTGAATTGAAAAAAAAAATATGGGTTATTAATTATAAACATCAGACCAATATTGGTGCCGTGGTTTTATGTACCCTTCAAAATAACATACTTCGGGTAGAACAATTTTAAGGTTATTGAAACGGTATTTTATTGTAAAGAAATATGTACCATCTGAAAAAGGAACATTATTCATAGGTCATAGTTGAAAACGTGCGGCTGAATAACTACTCGTGCGCACAAGTATAACGCAGCCTTTTTAGATGTGCGTTTAATCAACTATATCAATTTGAAAATTTCAGGAAAATTTAGCTGTGTAAGGAGACGAAGCCTATTGAATCTGAAAAAATTTGAATTAAATTGGGGGGTTGAGAAGGGTTGACGTATTAAAAAAAATCCTAAATCAAAAATGAAAAGTGATATCAACATGAAATTTTTAGCAAAAATCAAGTTCTGCAAGGGAATGACGCCTTTTGATTTTGAAAAAAATCTTATTAAAATTGGGAAGTTTAGATGGGTTGAAATTAAAAAAAAAATCATAAAACAAAAATGGAAAGTAATATCAACATGAAATTTTTAGTAAAAATCAAGATCTACAAGGCAATGAAGACTGTTGATTCTGAAAAAAAGTTTGAATAAAAATGGGGGAATAAGGGGGGTTGAAATAAAAACGATATTAAATTTATATCTTCAGGAAAATCAAGCTTTATAAGGGGATGAAGCCTATTGTTTCTGAAAATAATCTGAATAAAAATGAGAGGGTTAAGAGGAGTTGAAATATTAACTCAAAAACAAAAAATTATATCAACAGGAAACCTTTAGTAAAAATCAAACTCTATAAGAAGATGAATCCTATCGATTCTAAAAAAATCTGAATTAAAATGTGGGTTGAAGGGGGTTAAAATATTTAAAAAAAATCCTAACTCAAAAACGAAAGAAGATATCAACAAATTTTTAGCAAAAATCAAGCCCTATAAAATTTGTAAAAATCAAGGAAAATCTGAATAAAAATAAGGGGTTAAGAGGGGGAGGGTCTGTTAATTTGTGCAGAATATAATATAGAATGCCAAGTATTATATATCTTTATTCTAGTTTTTTAGTTTATTATGGAAATTTGAAAATAAACAGTGTTGGTGTTGAACAAAATAACCCAGTTTAAATTACCTATAATTATTGTTATAAACATTTTCTTTTGCTGAAAACAAAAATAATAGAATAGGTACCGACTTTTTGCTTGTAACTTTAATTTCGGAAAAAAACTAGCATAAAAAAGCAACTTGTAAAATATAGGGAAAACAATTAATTTTTTATTTATTTACAGCGATTTTTCAGTATTTTCAATTAAAGAAAGCCAGTGTATCTCATATTGTGGAAGCGGTAATCTGAACAGCGATATAAAAACCAATCCAGCCATTATTTGTCACGCACAAATTATTTATACATATAAAAACAGAAGCAATTGTAGTTATTAAAATAAGAGCCTTTTAGCTTTTATGACACTAATTTTCATTATAATAGGTGGTAACAATAGATAATCGCTTGATTAAACGCACGTCGAAAGAGGCTGCATCAGATTTGTGCGTACATATTTTTCAACTATGACTAATGCTCTTCTATCGCGTAGAATATTTACTACAAAACACAACCCTAAAATTATTGTTGTACCGGTAGTATGTTGTCATTTTGAAGGGTGTGTAAAATTAGGGTACACAAATGTTGGTCTGGTGGTTAATCATTAATAACCTATAATTTTTTTCAACTCTAACTATAATAATCCCCCTTCAATTTTATATGACCAGCTTAGACTATAATTATATTGTTAATAAATTGTTATACATCAACTGAAATTCTAGAAAGAGCAAAAAACGTATGCAAAGTCTAGTACCGCAGAAATTCATAAACTTGATTGGAGAAGTATTACTTTTTATATAGTGTATACAACTCTAAATAATGACTATTGCATAATATATACTATTTTAAACTGTACCTATAGTATAATAAAAAATTAGAAACCGTTTGTAAACTACTAGATATATATTAGATTGTTTTAATTTGAACTCACCTATATTGCAAGTTGGGCCAGTCCGTCCGTTTCCGCATTCACAGATGAAGGAGCCCCCGGCTTCTAGACAGGTGCCGCCGTGAAGACAAGGAGCTGGGGCGCAGGGATTGTCGACGATTTCACAATTAGCGCCGGAAAATCCTTCAGGGCATGTGCATAGATAATTATCAGGAGCGGTATTTTCGCATGTGCCCCCGTTCAGACATGGCTCGTGGGTACCGCAGTAATTTAGATCTGAAAAGATAATTTCTATTAAACAAAAGGTGTAATCTTAGGTATAGGCTCTTCGGCGAATTGGTAATACTTGGAGAAGTTGTATTAGTTACTAACATAAAGAACCGATGAAAGCCTAAATGGTAAGGTTTTCAAGCATAAGATCCGGCTGAGGTTGAGGACAGCTAATGTGCAAAAGCTAAACCAATATATGGTCTCGTATCAGGACCTTATAGAGACTGCAGGCAAGGTAGGGAACATTTAAAGGGTGATTTTGCCCAACATCAAAATGTATATTTTTTAAAAAATATTATCTAAAAGTATAATATTAGACGCTATATTGTCAATTTTCCATGGTAAATGGTTCCTCGGAAAACTGATCCATGATACAAATTAGGTATGATAATTATCCGACGAAAACTCGTCTAGTTCGCGCATGACGTATTGTGGTGTGAAATATTGCTATTTGATTAGCCATGAGCAGATTTATTTTCGCGCACTGTTTTCGATAATTTGATGCCTCAAATTTGTAAAAGCCACGCCTTCCCACCACAATACGTAACTGTGACGTAATATCAATCGATGTAATATCATATCTTCTTTTTATAGTATCATAATCTTGCACAATTACATAATATATCTAATGTTTGGGCGGCTTTGGAATGTTTGACGTTTTAAATTATTGAAAATGTATTAGTATCTTTGTGACAGTTTTAAACATTCTATTTTAATTCCATTGTTAATAATGGGACAAGGTAAAGCAACTGCAAAAAAATTAGTATGGCAAAGTTGCCAAAATTGCTATTGCATGTTCGTCCATCATCATTTCTTAAGGTGAAAAGTTGATTTGAATTTACAAAAACAATAGGCTTTGAAAGAAGTAACTTTTTAATGGAATGAGGGGAAAATATTGCGAAGATGCCCTTTTCTTAAAAACAATTTTTTTTACAAAACTTGGAAGAATCCATTACCAAGAAACTAAAAAAATAAAGGTGTGAAACCACAATATATTTGGGAACAATAGATAAAAAATCCAAAGCTAAAAGTACCAAAAAGGCTGAAATTACATCGAGAAGCTCAGATTCAGAAGCATCTGTGCATTATGATGACTCGACTGATGAGGAGGATTACAATGATGCTGAGTGTCGGTTTTGCCATGGAAGATTTTCCGAAGACACTCGGGGAGAAAAGTGGGCTAGATATATCGTTTGTTTTCAGTGGTGTCACGAGCTTGATGGCACACAATTTGTTTGCTCTATGTGCAAAAAAATAAAAGGAAAAAAAAGCTTTTGTTTGATTAGATTTTAGTGTTGTTACATTTTTGATCATCCTTTCGATTACATTTAAAATAAAGCAATAATTTTCTTTCAGTCCCTCTTTTTATTTTTTGAGTATCCTATTATGAGACAGTCTTTTATTAGGAACCCTACCCTATCTCATATTAGGAGACCAATTTTGAAAATAACAAAAAGTGTTTTTTTTTAGTTATTACCACTTTACAAAAATAATTAACATTTTTAATAAATTTGATGTGTTAAGATGTGAAGTATACACAACAGTCTACCGTTTAGAAATAAAACAACTTTTTAAAGTTATATTCTTACCTATTTATTCAAAAAAATAAAAAGGTGTCCCATATTAGGTTCCTTTCCTCTATCGTTATTATCGCAGATAGGTACAAACAAATATTTAACATAAAAGTTATCTTGCAGGTCTTGCATATCAGTTTTGGTCTTGTATCGCTGTATTGGTGTCCTGGTATTGAGTCTTGAACTTGCAAGACTGCAAGATAAAGATCAGACACGCACCACCCAGACAACACACCAAATCCCAGAGATATCCACAGAATATATTTTGTGGATATCCAATATATCTACAGGATATCAGAAATATTCCGTGGAACTAATATAGATATCCAAATGTCCGTCTATATCCAGAATATAGAAGATATCCTATGGATATTCAGCAAAATATCTAATGAGTATCTCCAGACAATACAAGAAATCCCAGATATATCCATAGAATATATTTTGTGGATATCCAACCAAATGTCCGTCTATATCCCAGGATATAGAAATTCAGATAAATATTTTATAATTATTTTTAGTAGAGGTTCATAAGTAACCAATGGTTATTGAATAACGTCGAAAGAAAATAGAGGTAAAAAATATTCCCAACAATCTGCCTCTGATTTTGCCTACTAAGGAGAAAATCATCCTTATTAGGAATCTTCAGCAATAAATGGAACTTCTCGACTTCAGTCTCTAATGAAGTCTGTTTGTGAAACAATGTCGATCAAACTCAATTACGGCGGGTTAAGCATGAGTAGATACGAAAGTGGTATCGCCATCTATACTTAGGAAGCAACATCAAAAATTACATCTAGTAGATATCCACGATGGTTTGCGTCCGCGCTTAGACTTTGATATATTTATATTTATAGTGGATGTCCATGGGATATTGAATACACCTTAAAAAAAATTAATTTTAAATATCTCAACGGTACTATTAGCAACAATGGCGAGTACAATGGCGTAATTTTTTAATAATTTGCTATATAATTACAATTATTTATGGACATTTGCATGTCTATAAATTACATTTCATGGATATAAAATAGATATCCACCATGGACTGGACATTCAGTGGATATTGGGATGTTCAGTAGATATCCAAAGGATTTGGTGTGCTGTCTGGGCATCAATATTGAGGATTTTTCAATTTTTTTAATTCACTTGCTAGGTATGCCAATAAATTGATTTCCTATATAACATTGTTTATACAAGAAACATTGATATAAATATTTTTTCAAACATATCTCCACGCGAGCAAAAATCTAGTATACAATACTAAACACATATACAGTTAGTCTGAGAATCATTATAAATTATAATAGTCAATTTAACAACCCGGAAGAAGATTTGAAATTATAGTTGATAATCTGAATTGACTGAAAGCACTTTGCAAATTATTTATACGTACGTCTGATCCTTCAAAAAACTATGAAGAGAAACAAGAATAAGACACCTGTGTTCGTATCCCACGTTCTTTCAGAACGGTCCAGCACGCAGGCAGGCTGGCTGCTTCTTCTGAAAGCATGCCTGTCTCTTTGACTAAGCTTTATACCATTAGTTTATACTTGATAGTTATCCTATAATATAGGTACACATTAAGATATACGTGTAGATACCTAAAAAAGTTTGGGATTTGGAATTTACGAAACCGTCACTGATGCGGTGATTTTTTACTGGTATAAAGAAACGTTAATAATGATGTTATTCACTTTAGAGGGTTTGGAGCACTACAGTGTGGTGATACGTTAATACAGTGACATATTAAAAAATCAAATCTTAAACAATAATCGTAGCTTTATTTCTTTTGATAATAATTATTGTCAAAAGTAAGGTAAGTTCTTTTTTAATTATATTATATTTTTAATTTTATGTCGGTATTGTTTAATTTGAGTATACCTCTTATTAGAACTTCTGTATTCTGTATGTGCTATAACAAATGATTTAGTTTTTCCTAGATTGCGTCCTGTTCAGGTATGGTTTAAGTATGTTTTAATTATTTTTTTCTTACTTAAGTATATAACTTTATAAAAATACAAAATTTGGTTTTTTTAGATTAAACATTACAGTGTTTCTTTTATATTCATTTGATTTATTTTAGGAAAAAACAGAAATATCTTCCCTGCTCAAAAATCTCTAAACAACTCTCTTTTGCTTTATCAACAAAAGATTTCTTTCAAATCTAGTTATTTGAATAATGGATATAACTACTCAAATTTGAGCAATTTAATAAATTTTTAGAGATTTTGAAATACCAATTAATACATGTGAGTTTATTTTCAAACCTTAAGCCGTGTCCACACTGAAACAACCTAGTCCAACAACAAAAAGATTACCTTTATTGGAATATATTGTGGTATGTTGTGATATGTTCGTGTTGCGGATCAATAAGAGTTTTAATATGTTGCGTCAATCCATATTTTGTTTTTAATGTGGACGGAATGTTGCCAGTTGAGTCTTGAGCAAACAGTCAGTAGTGAACCCAGATACTTGTATAGAAGTATAGTTTTCGTTCTTGAAAGTGACGTGAAGTGCGGAGAACTGTTTAAATTTAATTTCCAATTCTAGACAACACCCATGTATTTGAGATACAAAAGATATTAAAAATAAATGCAGAGAGTCAAAAAATGATGCTTAGACGGATCCAACACTTTCGTTTTCGCAAATTATTATCCAAATGTATAAAACAGGCAGCAGCTATCAATAAGTCAGACTCACAACCAGTCTATACAGAATGTTGCATTGAACGTTGTATAGGGCTCAAAAGGGCAAACATATCACAACAATAGAAAAACAGTGACAAAATTTATGATTTTCTTCTTCTATTATTTTTCCAGAAATGGCAGTAATGTCACTGTTTTCTTACATGGATTTTTCATTACAGTGTCATTTCTCAGTTATATAGTTATATAAATCAATGAATAATGTCACAAATCAATCATTATCGTTTTATTTAAACTGTTACTAAGAAAACTAGTGTCATAATTATTGTTAAGACATTGTTTTATACCCTAAACTTGAATTAAAAAAAATAAAAATTTTTATACATGAACAATATTACATAATATACAATTTTCGAAGAATCTTGTAAGGTAGATGACACGTTGACCTGAACTAATTAAAAATATTAATTATAAATATATTTTAATGGAAATCTCAAAAGACGGTCACCGTATTGATATTTTAGAGTATATTTTTTATGAACTGAACCAATTTCTAAAGCATCATCTTACTGTCGGAGCTTGGATTATTGTGTAACTGCTTGTCTGGGCTAGTTCCACCACAGAGATACTCTGAGAAAACGTATCTATTCACAGTACACCACAGAGCTAGGTATACGGTGAATAGTTACGTTTTCTCAGAGTATCTCTGTGGTGGAACTAGCCCTGTTTCTTTTCTGTATTGTGCTCTCTTCTGTGTCTAGAGCTTAATAATGAGCAATGGGCCAACATTTTTGATTTATGATTAAAACGAATGCATAAATGTATTTAAATGAAATAATTGATAATGAAATATCAAAACTCTTAGACGATGACTATATACTAATTATTCAAATAAAATAATATCATTAATAATGTATGAGGTTATTTATGTTTTGGAATGAAAACGCAAAAGAAAACTTACAAACGAACAGTAGGATGAACCCTCTTTATTTCAATTCAATAGCCCTAATTCCATAAACGTTTGAATGATTACTTTATTATTTATTTTAGATGAACCTATTCACTTCCCACTAAACAAAAAAGTGCTTGAGAGACGTCCAGATGCATCAAAGTTATCCCACAACTGTTTAAAAACATAAAAAAATATTTATATATCCAAAGGGAGTCATTGACCATTCATCAAAAAAAGCACTTGCTTTTCAAAGAGGGTAATTTTTTGTAGAGCGTGTGTATATACACCGAAGTTGTCACGGGTTGGTAAGCAACCACAATTCTGCACTTGATCGACATTTCGGCAACCCTCTTGAAATGGGGTCGTATCTATGTATGCATGTGTTACAGTGATTAACCCTTTGACACGTTTGGAGGAACATGTGTGTTTGGATGATTGATAATAGGATTAGGGTATCTAGTAATACATTCATTTGAAACTATAACCTATTAAAGCGAGAGTTTAATAGCATTTAATTTTAGATGAATTTAAAAACGGTTAAAACTAAATAGATTAGATTTATTGCACATTTTTTTAAATAAATCAGAGTAGATGTTGACGTCAATATCAATTCTGTAATTTTAAAAATTATAAACATTTATATAAATAAAATATAATTTTTTTCAAAGTCAAGCCAATAGTCTATTAATAACCATTTACAATAACGTTGAAACCAATTCTCAAATCGATGTAATAACGAAGAAAATGAGTAATAAAAAACGTAAGACAACAGAAGGTATGTAACACTCTCTGTCTAGTAGTTCCTTTTTAATGGAAAACTGCTAGAGAGAATATGAAAGAGAGAAATCCAAAAAAGGCTCTGCAGACGGTGGTCGATGTTCATCAAGAAGTAGAAAATCCCACCATGGGTCAAGGGCAGCTCCAGGCCAAATTTTCGGGGGAGGGAGTCATTATCAATAACAATTTCCTTTTTAGCATATTTTTTTAATAAAAGGCTCGTGAATTGTAAGACTTTTAACCTGGAGGGGGGCCAGGGGGCGCATGGAGCCGACCTTGCCATGAGTGCAAGGGTATATCTGTCGAAACTGAAAAATATGCCTATATAGCGATGAGATGATAAATTGGCATCACTGCTATATACTTATCAGTCGATGCTATGTCAGAAGCATCTGGAATATTTAGAGAAAATAGTTTTAAGTAAAATACTAAATATTAATACGTATTAAACGCAGGTTGGAGTCTAAGATACATGACGAAAAATAGATTTTTCTTACTTGTAACTCAAAATATTAGGTTTTTCCGACTTAGAACTTAAAAAAAATCTTTTTTTCAATTTAAATCTGATGGGGTTGTTAAGCCTTCAACTTCTAGTAACATAGATCAAATAGGTACTAATCTAATCTAATATATTGGTAAAATATTTGATTTTTTATTAATTTACCTTGATCGCACAGAATTCCGCCCCAATTTGTATCGCATATGCACTGCCACGAAGATCCGTTGCAGTATCCGTGTTTACATCCAGGATAAGGTTCGCATTGATCACAAAAATCTCCCCTCCAACCAGGTCGACATCTGAAAAAAAAATTGAACACGTTTTATTGAAATACAAAAAAAATAAATTAATATTTCACTAACAGGAGAAAGCAATAAACAGAAGACTAAGCAATAATCCATAGAATCCAATTAAATAACCAATTAATAACCAATTAATAACTAATTAATAACTAATTAATAACTAATTAATAACTAATTAATAACTAATTAATAACTAATTAATAACTAATTAATAACTAATTAATAACTAATTAATAACTAATTAATAACTAATTAATAACTAATTAATAACTAATTAATAACTAATTAATAACTAATTAATAAATAATTAATAACTAATTAATAACTAATTAATAACTAATTAATAACTAATTAATAACTAATTAATAACTAATTATTAACTAATTAATAACTAATTAATAACTAATTAATAACTAATTAATAACGAATTAATAACCAATTATTAACCAATTAATAACGAATTATTAAACAATTAATAACGAATTAATAACGAATTAATAACGAATTAATAACGAATTAATAACCAATTATTAACCAATTAATAACGAATTATTAAACAATTAATAACGAATTAATAACGAATTAATAACGAATTAATAACGAATTAATAACGAATTAATAACGAATTAATAACCAATTGATAACGAATTATTAAATAATTATTAACCAATTAATAACGAATTAATAACCAATTGCTAACCAATTATTAACCAACTAATAACCAAATAATAACCAATTAATAACCAATTAATAACTAATTAATAACCAATTAATAACCAATAATTAACCAATTATATACAAATTAATAACCAATTCAGAATCAATTATTAATCAATTAATCACCAATTAATAACCAATTAATAACCAATTAATAACCAATTAATAACCAATTAATAACCAATTAATAACCAATTAATAGTCAATTAGTAGCCAATTAATGACCAATTAGTAACTAAAAATACAAATTTATGTATACAAAGTATGATGAAGTAGAAAGAAAGTGATATTACTACCAATTTTAAGCCTAAAAATTCAAAAGACGTTAGAGTCCGTTCCATTAGAGGAAAGTCATAGACCACGATAGTCTCAGTAACCAAATTTTGACTTGTTTACCTAACAAAGCTTAGCAATCACCTGAGTGGCGCGCTGCGATTGATAATTTGTGGACGTTTGCTGATGAAGTTTAGAAGAGGTTAGCGGCCACTTTTTTATTTTCCTCTAATGTTTGAGGTTATGTTTGAGAAATTGTTTCTAAAGTAGGCCATGGCCAACAAAGACAGATATATTAGTCATGTCCAAGATAACCACGCACGACTCAAAATTAAATCCAAACCTAAAGTAGGCCATGGCCATTAATGTATCTGGATAATATCGTATTATTATGTTGTTAATATAAGGTTTTTTTTGTTTAACTATCCATGATCTTTCAAAAAATATGTGTCATCACTCGTGGATTGACTCCTGATCCAAAAATAAGAAAAATATTTCATAATAACCTGGATCCGCAGATGCTTTGTTTCAAAAACAGAGAGTATTTATTTTCTTTCGGTTTTTCAAAACGATTTGAATAAAATTTTGGTTTTACAATGTACTTAAACTTAAAAGGCATATATTTTAACAATAGGTTTACATCTAAGGTTAAGATTGTCTTGATATTATTTAGGCCCATATTAAAAAATACATAATTTAATGAAATATTTGCTTTGCACCATATTCACCCTACGAGACGGCCCTGACAAAAAGATCTGTATATCTACTTTCTCACGTTTTTCAGATTAAATATCCAATCAAAATCTGATTTAACTCTTCGATAATTGACGTATTTTCTTTATATTGGAATTCATGTGTCATTTGTTATATAATTTAATCCGGATCGGTCAATATGGTCTAATATGAGACTGGTATTGGACATAAGGCGTATAACTTTACAAGTGCAGGATTTGATATAGATCTACAATAATTTATTGTGCGGTTTCTACAAATAATTGCTGTTAACGATTGGAAACAGGTAGGTACCTCTAATAAAGTTTATCGGCATTGATACTTAAGTTTTATTGGTTGCTTTGTTAAAAAATATGGACAGTTTACCAATCAAATTATGTAATAAAAATGAGTCATAAAAACTTTGCTTTCATTTAAAGAATTCGAGATAGTTTTATTATTTTATTGATTACAAATACAAAAAACAAAATGTAAAAATTAATGAACCCATTAATGGACCAGAGCAATTGATAACATGAAAATGGAAGTGAACATAAAATAAAACTAATTATCGTAAATGAAATGAAAGATAACCAAAATAACAAGGAGATTAAATGCAAGAACGCAATAAAGAGTAACAACCTATAAATATTTGAAAACTATACTGACACAATATGGGAAAATAGAAGTAGAAATAACAAAGTGAGCGAACAATCAACCAAAATTTACTATTCATTAAATGAAACAATCCACAATATAATATCAAAATTCATCTATGCTTGCGAAAACTGGGTAATACGCAAGAAAGAAAAAGTAAAACTGAATGCTATAAAAATGAAAAATCGCAAGAAAGACCAAATATGTGGTTCTATATCCTATTAACACATGCCAAAATTGAAAATTATATCTAAACTATTTTCGAAGATATTAAATAACATCTCTTTAAAAAACAAATTTTCAACTCCGTGAAGCCGTTGCAGGCATATATTCATATGAACTTTTCTTCATAGAAGGACTTGAGGAATCACACCCCTACAATATTATCATACCATTAAAAAACACCCTGTATTAATTGTAAAAACGGGGAAGCCATTTTGAATTTTTAACAAGTAATTTATGATCTGTTATCTTTGATCAGATACCAATTTTATTAGAAACCAATTTTAGTCGAAATCTGTTGACTTTTAAAAATAAATGGTTTTTTTAACTGCTCACCCTTTATATATCTGACCGGAAGTATAACCGGTTTTGAGCCAAGAGGAAGCCTTACTTACCTGCATACAAAATTTGAAGTATTTCTTTTAAGCCGTTTTTGAGCTATCGGGCCAACAGATAGACGACAGACAACAGACGGAGGACGGCAGACTGACCTACCGACGGAATGGGAAAAACATGTTTTTCGTAATCTAGGGACCCGAAAACGTGAAAATTTAAATTTTCACGATTATAATACTTTCCTTTTATCGAGGGAAGTAAAAATTAAATAAGTATACTCGATCTCTTGAATGCTCCTCTACTATTTTTAAAGATGATGTATCAGTCTCCTTTTGTTTTTGTATGTTGCCGGCTGGCTGTAAAGCTTTAAAGTCGCACTATATCTCTTGCTGGTACTATACCTATAGAAAATTTAAACTCCGTTCATAGTGTAGAGGGTTCGGCAACTATATTAAGTATAAGTAATGCTTTCTATTACTTAGACTATGCAAAATGTTGCTAGAAATAAATGTAGAAAACAACCTAACCTAAATCTAACTTTTAGCTAAACTCTACCGATTTTTAATTTTCAAATTTTCAATAAAAAATTTTTTAATTGAAAATAAAAATAGAAATTTACAACAATGCTTAATAGTTAACGAAATTTTAAAATATTATTAGTCTATGGGACCCTATTTCGTACCATATTTAAATATACCTCGGAAACAACTCGACTCTCCCCATAAAAACATTGAAAAGAGACAGAAAGGACTGGAAAAATAGTCATAAGAGGACAAGGAATCCTAAAATGTTAAGTTATATCATTACAGTATGTTTAGTTTTCAGTTGGTCTATGTAATGTACTTGTTATAATTTTATTATTAATTAATCAATTAAAAATAATTCAACTTACATGCATTCTCCGGGATGTTCGCATTTCCCACGAACTGGATGACAACCAGATTTGCAAGCAGCTGAAAAATAAGTAAAAGTACATAAAATAACTAGATACATTATTATGCTATTCACATCTTTTTTAAATCGGGCTTGGCTATGTAAATTTGACACATTTCACTGAGTACGTACGTGATATTTTATTTGTCGTTGCGATTACATCAGGGAAATTAATTTCAGAGGAATTGGAAAATCAGTATTCAAAGAAGAAATATTTTCATTCATACCTAATTAGTTTTTTACTGGCCGAACAGTATCAGGAAATAAAATAAAAATTTTAAATACTTCTTTTTTTTCCAATAGTATTTGCAAATAATGGCTTAGTCCAAAGACCTGCACTGTAGTAGCCAAATTCTCTTTCATAAAATGAATACGTTATATTATTGGGACGTAATTTTTGTTCCATTCTGTCATTGAATTTTACATATATACATTTTTAGTTTTTATTTAATATTGTTTACAAGTCGTAAAGTACTTTAACGGTAAGTAGCCGAATTATATTTTATGTTTAAATGAATACAATCTTAAAAATAATAGAAATGCATTTATTTTCATTATATTTCAAAATTTAAAGCCCTTTGATTTTTTTTTCTCGGAAACTGGAAGGAATTAAAACTTTAAAATATGTGCAATATATTATTGCCTAATTTATTTAGCAAAAATTTTAATTTTTTAACATAACCTTGTCCGAACATTTTAAGGGATGCTTAATTACGCGGGTGGTTTGACGGAAGAGTGACTTTTCAGAGGTTGGCAACACTTTCGCTACAGTAATTATATTGGTAGTTTCCGCCATGTTTATGATGTAATCTGTCAAAATGTTACATAAATCTGACAGATAGATTAGTTTTAATACTCATATAAAGAAAACTGTTCTGTTCCATCACGATAATGCGCCTGTCCATTCGTCCGCTATTGTTGCAGAAAAATTAACCGAACTGAGTTACGATTTATTACCTCATCCGCCATATTCACCTGATTTGGCTCACTCCGATTACTTTTTGTTCCCAAACTAAAAAAAATGACTTGGTGGAAAGCGATTTCAGACAAATGAAGAGGTGATGGCAGAGACAAACGCGTATTTTGCGGAACTTCCGAAAGATTATTTTTTGGATGGTTTGAAAAAATTGGAAACTCGCTGGGCTATGTGTATAGAGTTAAAAAGAGTTTATATTGAAAAATAAAAAAAAAATATAGAAAAGTCACTCTTCCGTCAAACCACCCTCGTATACATCTGGTTAAAACGCTGTTATCGGCTGTATTTCAGAATATTTTGAACTAGATTTATTTTTGAAACATTCACAAAAACAAGTCGTTTTTTATTCGAACAGCTTACGAGATTTAAAGTCATGACAGGGTATCCCCCGTAAATGTATTACCAAACTTTTAGGGGTGGTAACAATAACAATTTTTTTTGTTCAGATTAGTTTCAGGATATATTGCGACACGTCAAGCGTCCCCTTCAATTCCAACCTAGTTTCTTCTTTCCCACTTCGATGTATTGTGGGCGGAGTTCTCGCAATATTTTTCGAAACATCTCTAACCATTTATAATCAATATATCCAAAACATTTTAACTGGACAGGGATTCATTCATATGTGCGAACTCAACACGTTACGTGCTGAATATAGAGAGACATTACATTAGAATCGCATTCTGTCAAACGAAGATAAGCGTCTCAACACGTGTCGTATTGAAAGATGAGAATCTCACAGCTGATTTCAATGAAATTTCCATTTCCAGAATTATAAGGTATCAAAAACATAAACAGCATATATTTGCTGATACTTTAATATTCAAGTCATAATATTTAGGTCCATATTTTAATGTTTGACTTATCTACGTCCGAAAATCTTAGCCCTATATGTCAAAACTTGAAGTGCGAACAGCAAAACGCTATTCATGTATAACTTTTTTTGAAAGCACTTTTCAAATACGAACAGCACAGTAAGTAGAGAATACAAAAACATTTGTGCTTTACACTTTTGTTAGTTTTTTGTCACATAGACTTAGCAGCGGGTGCCAAGCGGTTTCCCCCGTCCCAAAAAAAGGATTCGTTCGATATGGTCATCATACCCACTCTTGTTGCTTGCACAAACTGCTATTTACAAATAGTTGCTTGTGAAATTGACCGTATCTACATTATTATATTTAAATTCATCTCATTTAGTTCCCATTTATTAATATTTTTATTAATTTACAAAATTTCATCACATCACTAATGGTTATTATTTATTAATCTACAAACTTCATGAACTTACCCTCCAGTTAGTTGAGGAAATATGAAAATAGGTGCTGACATAAAAAAATATACATAAGTGTACTCAGTCTCTTGACTGCTCCCCTACTAATATTAAAGCTGAACTCTCATAAGCTCTATACAATAAATTTCTTTATCTCTACTAAGCATCGAGATGGAATGAAGTAGAGACGACATAACCACTATTTTGCGATATTACAAGTGGACGCACTTTGAGTGATGGAAAAGTGTAATCAAAATGGCGACTTAGATTCGTATTTTGATTAATTTAAAGTTATTAATTATATATTTAAAGATTGACGAAATGAAAATGTTTTTATATCATTTAATTCAAGCTATTTTAAAAAAATGGCATTTATTCTCACCAAAACTGACTAGATCTACTAGCTCGACATATAACGTAAAAGTGCGGACACTTTTATTCCTCCTCTTTATTTTATTTCAATGGTACTAAAGAAACAAAAAAAAAGTCGGTAGTTATATGTATAGAATTAGTACAGTAAATATTATTTTATCTCTAGCTTAGTCAGCATTTAAAATGTTATAAATATATGTAAGTTGTTTATTTCAATAATTCTTCAGATATTCTTCATACTTGATTGTTGTAGTTTGGAATTAAATAGTTCTTTTTTAAAAAACTGTTTTTCCTTTAAAAAACCATAATTGGCGCAGTCAGTAGGATTCGCGCGGGCTACGAAAAATACAATTAACGTTCGCATCGTGCTAACAGTGATTTTTCGGTAGACTTTGGCAATTTTAACGCCTTCAGTGCGAATAGAACTTTCCATCAACTACAATCATTCCATCGAGGAACCTTCAGTAGAGAAGTCGAAGAATTCGGAAAAAGGAACCAGGATCTACAGAGTCCATCGAGGAACTGTAAGTGCCAAAATCCTTTTTTGCCTCTCCTTTTTCATCGAGAAATAGGAAAGATAGTAATATTAAGTTTTGATTTTAAAAGAAGAGAATATTTAAGTTATATTGAATTTTGAAAATATTAATATTGAATATTGAAAAGAATATATATATATATAAGTTATTTATATTGCATTTATTTTAAAGTTTTAATAAGATTTCTTTAGAAGATAATAAAGATAATAAAATAGAAATGGCTCCACAAGTAGCTAATATTAATTGGAGTTTCTTTAAATCCAAATTAAATAATATTAAACCTTATGACGGGGATAGTAATACATTAAATAAATTTATCAGTAGATGTGATGCACTTTTTCAAAGTTATGCTGATTTGAATAATGATCAATTAAATGCTCATATTTTTGAATGCATCCAAGAAAAACTTATTGATAAAGCCGAATTAAATGTAGGAAACAGAACAGAGTTACAAACCTGGGATGATTTAAAAAATGCTCTTGTTCAATGCTTTTCAGACAGAAGAGATCTGGACTGCCTTGTGCAAGAACTAACTAGAAACTACCCTTATAAAAATGAACATTTATTAGACTTCGGTAGTCGAATACAGTTATTAATGAGTACAGTGATTCAAAGAATCAGTAATGATGTTACATTATCAATAAACGATAAAATTTGTCAAACAAACCACCATAAAAAGACAGCTTTAAATACAATTATTGCGGGTTGTCCACCAATTTTAAAAAATAATTTACATTTAAAAAAGCCAGCTACTTTAGACACAATTTATCAAGCAAATATAACATTGAAAACATCATTGGGGAGTAAACAGATCCGATTTCAGTCAGATATCCCAGCATTCGCAGAATTTAATTGCCAGTACGTGATTAATTTCATTGTTTATGATTTTCATGACTTTTTTGATGGTGTTATTGGACTTACTGACCTAGTTAACATGAACTTAAATATAGATTTAATAAACAAGAAATTAATAGGCCCGTATGTTGAAATTCCTTTTAAATATAGACAACCAAATGATATAAATTTTTCGTTCACCGTTAATGGTAAAGAATCTCTTTTAAAAAAATTACCTGTTAGTATACAGGATGGAGACATAATTATTGAAGAAACATATTTTGGAAATATTTATTTACCTCGAATGATAACAACCGCAAAAAACGGATTTGCTTTAATTGAAGCTGAAAACAATACAGATAAAAGTATTTCTATTAAATTAAATAATCCCATTTTAGCTAAACAATTCCAAAATTCTGAACATGAACTATACAAATCTGAATGTTTTAAAAATAAATTTGAAAAAACTAAAAAATCGAAAAGTAAAGAAAGTAAAGCAAATATTTCAAAATTAACTAGAACGAGTCATACGAACTCTAAAGAAGAAAATAAAATAACGAAATCCGTAGAAGATATTTGTCAAGAAACAAACCTATATAATCTTTTTGAATTGGAAACTACTACTAATAATAATAATAATAATTTGCAAAACGATATTATTTCAAAAAATAATTTAATAAACGATGTATCATTTCAAAATATAATCGATACTAATTCACATAAAAATAATTTGACAAACTATGAATCATCTCAAAATGTAATATATGATATTAAAATAAATCGAGCAAATATTTGTAATAAAAAAAATAATAAATTTTCATCATCAAATAGTATTAGAACCAAAATGAAAAATCCTGGAACCTACAAATGTTATCGAAAGAGAATAAAATTCAAAAACTTTACAAACTCGGATAGAAAAAGAGTAAGATTCAAAAACAACATTAATATATAATTTAGTTTTAATAGAAATAAACATAATTTTAATTAATTCATATTTCAGAACGTAGTTTAAACTCTTATAAAAATCAAACTTTTATTACCTCCAATTGTAATCAGAGAATCAATGAATAATCAAGTAAGAATAGAAAAGATTTTTGAAAACTCTAGAATATACGTAACCTTATCTAAAATTAATTTAGAACAACAAATTATTAATTTTGTTAAAAATTATATTGATCCAAAAGTAACATATGCCTTATATTTTAAAAATCAAAATTTACCTGAAACATTTATAACTACAGTGCAAAATAATTTTAAACATTCTGCATTTAAATTTATACATTGTACAAAATTTTTGACAGACATTTTAACAACTGATGAACAAAAAACTAAAATTGAATATTACCATATTTATAAATCAGGACATAGAGGCATTAATGAAGTAAATACAGCCTTAAGTTCTAGATATTATTGGCCAAAAATTATGGAAGATATTAAGTATTATATAAATAATTGTGAAACTTGTCAGAAAAATAAATATGATAGAAATCCTCCAATAATAAAATTTAATTTAACGCCTACAGCCACAAAACCATTTGAACATATACATATTGACGTATTTAAAATTTCTAATCAATCATATTTAACTATTATTGATTCATTTTCAAGATATGGTCAGGCATATCCTATGAAAAGTATAACATGAATAAATGTAGTAGATAATTTATTAAATTTTGTAACCCATCATGGATTACCTCAAAAAATTACAACAGATAGTGGCACTGAATTAAAAAATTATGATTTAGAAGATTTTTGTAAATTACATCATATTGAACTTCATTATACTACTGCTAAAAATAGCAATTCAAATTCACCTGTAGAACGTTTTCATTCAAGTTTAATTGAACATTTTAGATGTCTCAAAGAAGAAAATAATGATCTAACCCCTGATCAATTAATAAAACATGCTATATTAGCCTATAATAATTCCGTACATTCCGTAACAAAATTCACTCCTTATCAAATAATTAAAGGACATATTAATAATGAAGATCCTTTTGATTTAAATGATCACCTTATAATTTCAAATTACGTACAAAATCATAAACAAATTAGTAAAAAATTATATGAAGACATAAAAGATAAAAACGAAACAATTAAACAAAAAGTAATAGAAAATAGAAATGAAAATCGATCAGAACCAATTGATTATGAAGAACCAAGCACTGCATATATAAAAACTAAATTAAGAAATAAAGCTTCTTCAGTTTATAAGAAAACTAAGGTTATTAAAAATAAAGGTATTTTATTAAAAACTAACAAAGGGACTTATCACAAAAGTATAATTAAAAAACCTAAAGGTTCAAAAACTAATTCAAATTTATTGTTACAGAAACAAGACGAAATTGGGGACAAAAATAATGATAATCTGCCTAGTACTTCTAGTAATAGAACAAATTAATGCACAAGAAGATATACAAATAACTCCACTTGAAAATTTATTATTACCTATAAAATTAGGAACATCAAAAGTAATTTATAGTAAACATACATTTTTACATTATATAGATATAAATTCTATAATTGAACAAGTTCAGCAATTAACTAAAAATTTTAAAATACTTAAAATCTTATTATTCATGTAGATAATATAACCAATCAAATATCATATCATAGTCTTGCTCAAAATAATTTATTACGAACTGAAATATTAATAAATACTGTTCAGAAAAAATTAGGAAATATTCATCCTTATATTAGAAATAAAAGAGGCTTAATCAATGGTCTTGGAAAATTCAATAAATGGTTATTTGGAAATTTAGACTCAGATGATGAAGAAAGATATAATAAAGCTATAGATCATTTACAACAAAATCAGAAAAATCTCATTGCAGAAACAAATTTACAAATGTCACTTTATAAAAAATTAATTGATCACTATAATCGGACAATAACAATTTTATTTAAAAATCAACAAGCATGTACTGATACCCTTAAAAAACTCCAATATTCAATAGCAAAGAAAATACAAACTTTAGAAACTTTTGTAAACTTTCAAGGAGCACTATCTCAAATTAATTTAGATTGTCAAACTATAATAACTTTACTTGATAATTTAGAAAATGCAATATCATTTTCAAAGTTAAATACACTACATAATTCAATAATTTCTATTGAAGAAATTTTAGATTTATTACAATATTTATCGAAATTATATAAAGAAAATGAAATTCTCAAATTTCAAAATATTCTTTCATATTATCAAATTCTAGGTACACAAGTAACATTTACTAAAACAAAACTAATATTTGCTATTCATATTCCTATTTAAAAACCTGTTTCCTATGAATTTTATCACCTTTACCCTATTATCCAAAATGACAAAATGTTCATCCCCAATTACCCTTATTTGGCACGGAAGAAAACCGAAGTTCAATTTGAAAAAGATGAATGTCCAACAGTAGAAAAAGTATACTATTGTCAAGAAAATTATATTACTAAAGATGATTGCACCCTTCAACTATTAGATGGAAATAATCCAAATAATTGCCAATTTTTGGATGTAAGCATTAAAGAATCAATCAGTCAACAAATCACAAGAGACGAAGTCCTATTTAACGTGCGAATCCAATCAATATTTAAAAATTGAATAACCAGTCTTAATTAAAATTCCAAAAAAGTGTAATATAGAAATTAATTACATTAACGACGTCCAAGAAGGAACGCCTCTGATTTTACCAAAATTCGAAATAGAAGATATGAAGACACCATTTCAATTTCAAAAAGCTAATATAACTAAAGTCAATTTTGAAAATTTATACGAAATAAGTAAAATTGCTAAAAGTTTAAAACCAGTAGAAGAAGTAATAGACAATCCTTATAAAACTAAATCAATATCGAATATTATAATTATAATCTTATGCCTTATCATTTATTTAATATGGAAAAGAAGAAAAGAAATACTACAATTGAAGATATGTCCTCATCGAAAAGAAGCAAGAAAATCTACAAACGGAGAAAATAAAGAAATAGAATTAGAAGTAAGAAGAAAAGAAGACAATCCAGAAACCTCGAAGAATCAGTCCCTGATCTTCTCAGCTTAGGAAGGGAGGAGTTATATGTATAGAATTAGTACAGTAAATATTATTTTATCTCTAGCTTAGTCAGCATTTAAAATGTTATAAATATATGTAAGTTGTTTATTTCAATAATTCTTCAGATATTCTTCATACTTGATTGTTGTAGTTTGGAATTAAATAGTTTTTTTTTTAAAAAACGGTTTTTCCTTTAAAAAACCATAATTCGGTGTAAAACTTGGACTACCTAGTAGGCTATTTGCCTAATTTATCAGCAATATCAAGGATATGTAACAATTAAATACAGAATTTTTTCTAAACGCTTATTTTACACCAAACAGTTACAGAAAATTTATTATTCTCAATTCTTACTTCCAAATCAGACTCCAGCAAACGGCGATCTTTGTATATGAGCATGAGTTTAGAACCGTGACTAACTGTAGGTATGTAGTATGCAGAGATGAAAAAGTGATATTTGCATTCTGCATTCGGTTTCTAGATGTGCTTGCCGGTAATGACTGAGTGACGGCAAATACTCTCAATTATACAAGACTGTGCTTGTGTAAATGCTTTTAGATTATTTTTAAAACAAAAGTTACATAACTTGTAGAAAAGGATCATAGACAATTAAAGAATTATAGGCGATTGCAAGAAAACCCGTTAAATGTATCAATACTTTTAATTGTCCACTAACTTTATTGACTCGTTAAAATTTATTCGTTTTACAGGAAACATTTTGTTTCTGTCGTTAGATAACCAGAGAATAACGAGTCGCCGAGCTGGCAACGGCGCTTTCGCCACTCTGGACGACCGGTATCGATGCAGAAGCGGACCTAGGCGAAAACGGAACTTTAGGTTAAAGACGAGCAAGTCCTGCGGCCAATTTCACATAATACATTCAAAGGAGCTATTAAATTTAAAGGACACAAACGACGATACTTGTTGGCTCTCCAATTATGACTAATTCGGAGTTGATGCCCTAGATTTGCAAATGACCTATGGCGCTTTAAATGACTACATAAAAACACGATAAAATAGTTGATTTTGAAAAGAATAATTATTTCCTTACCCTTTTCACACGTCGCTCCCGTCCATCCTTCTATACATTGTTTCTCACCGTTACGATCACAGATAAAATGACCAAAAGAGTCGTTCCTAGGTCGACAAAATTTTGTACATGTCGAATTATAATAGTGCGTATCACATATTACGCGCATCCTGTATGTTAATCGTGCGCGGGAGCCCCTATGGTTAAGGGTGTGCCATTCCGGACTGGGGTCTATAATTCCAGAGTACGTAGCTTCTTCTATTATCTTATTCGTTGCTGTAACAAAGAAAACATTGATAACATAATAGGGTATTTTAAAGGGTGAAACTATAAAAATAATTTTTTTCTACACCCACATAGATATTAGCTTATTTACGCACACATTACAAAACGAAAAAGTATGCTATTGCATTCAACTGAATAAATATATTTCATATCCATTCTAGGTAGTGAGAACACTGCAAAAAAATGAACTCTACCAATCACGGTTCATATTTTAATCACACGAGTACTATTTTAAAATTTTAAATAAGTGACAATTCTGTCAAACTAATTGTCACAGTAATTTTTTAAGTTATTTAGATTAAATGAGTTATTTTTGTGTAAAATCGATAAATAATAACATTTCTAAATATAAACAATTCGTTAATATATACAGTGCGGGTCTAAAGTTCCTCCCCCCATTAATATTTTGAACTGTAAAAGTTAGAAATTTGAAATTGAGATATGAACCCATAAAAAAACTTTGATTTTAAACGAGAACAGTACAGTGTCAAAGGTTAAAAATTTGTAGTACGCCAGTTGATAGCATTAAAAATTTAAAGCAAAGGATTCATTATGAGTAAAAATTTTATTTTTATTTATGGCATTGGAAAGGGTTTGGAACAAGCTTTCAAATGATCCCGTTTAAAATTATCTTCCAAAACGACTACAACGGCTTCTGTCCGCCATTTTTTATGTAATAAGTGACATGAGCACATCACATATTCTTAATAATGTATCGTTTATTTATTTTCTACATTCATTTATTTATTTGTACACTTGTATTCAACAATTTATTTACAAATTATCCTAAAGATAATTTTCTGTATCAGCACTATTTATATTTCAAATAATTGATCTTTACAAAACAAATTATTTCTATCGACTTAACTCTCCAATAACACACAGCTTATTTATTTAAAAAGACGAAGGTTCTAGACGTTCCACCAAATTTCTTTTTCGTATATAACAATATGGCATTTTGCCAAATCTTTGGAAGTGGCGCATGAGCCTTATCAAATAATCACCAATCTTTTTTGACCGCAATGAAATATAATATGCTTCCAGGTGTCGAGGACAATAAAAAATAAATTTGCGGACATTTTGTGTCCGGATATTTACTGTTCCAGCAAAATTCGGGATATAGATTAAACGCAATTTTTCTGATCATAAGATGAGATTGCGGAATTGTTTTTGTATCTGCGAATTATTTTTATTTACAAAATCATTTCGATTAGCCAAAAAGAATAGCGGAAGCCATTTTGATGATTATCCATTATAGATGTGTGAAAATTTGAGAAGACCTTGACAAATTTAATGTATTACCTTCAAAACAATCCGTAATTTATTTATTTATTTATTGTCTTAAGTACACTACAGAAATATGAATTCCAAATGGCACAGTCTTAAAGCTAAAACAACAATTGAAGTATAAGTATATACATATAAAAAAAAAAAACCGAATATATAAATATCAAAACTCTTCAGAAATTTTAAAATACATTTAACGTCTAAAAAACAAAGTCTAACACCATACAAGACAAGAAAAGAAACAACCTAAAATTTTAAAATTCGAGCATCCTCTTAACAGATAATAACGTACAATTAAAAATATCACAGTAAGAATAGTGCTTATTATAGTTGCACAAAAGCCTATTCATGAAAGCTCGTTGTCCATAGTTTGTACGATGGGTTTTCTCAAAGAATAGTTGTGACTGTCGAGTATGCCTTAACGGAACAACGAAATTTACTTGGCATAACAATTTTTCACAAATAATGTCTCCATTAATTATTTTGTAGAGCAAAAGTAACATTGCATCCCTGCGTCTCCGTTCAAGAGTTTGCATACCACAGAGTAGCAGTCTCGTTTCATACGATAAATCCCGATATGGAAAGTGAAACTTAAATAGCAAATATTTACAAAATTTATTTTGAACTCGTTCAGTTCGGTTGACATAACTAGCTTGTGACGGAGACCAAAAAGTACTGCAATACTCTAAAATACTTCGGATCAAACCACTGTACAAACATGTTATTGCTTTAGTGTCTTGTATATGCTTTGTGCTTCTTTTTATGAAGCCTAAACGCCCTCAGAATGATAGTATCAACATGTAAAGAAAAGGATAATTCCCTGTCGAATACTACCCCTAAATCATTAAATGTGGAGACGCTCTCCAGCGTAGTATTATTAATAATGTATGAGTTTTCGACGGGGTTAGAACATCTGTAAAATGATATAACTTTACATTTAGATATGTTTAGTTCTAAATAGTTAGAACTGCACCAAGAGACAAATTGATCTAAATCAGACTGTAGGGCGTTATAATCAGGTTCCACAATATTAAAAAATTTTAAATCGTCAGCATATAAGAGACAATGAGAATTTTAAAAAATAGGACACTACATCATTTATAAATAACAAAAATAAAATAGGGCCAATATGTGAACCCTGGGGTACACCCGAAGACACTGTCACTTCCCGCGACACAGAACCATTCACTGTAACACGCTGCCGACGGTTAATAAGATAGGATTTAATCCACTTAAGGTAATTGCCTGTTATCCCAATTTCAGATAGTTTCTTTAAAAGTAACGGCTGACATACACTATCGAACGCCTTAGAGAGGTCGGTGTTAATTGTATCAACTTGGTAACCAGCTTCAACCGAAGAGGTAATAAACTCCTGATAAATAGCCAGATTAGAAGTTGTTGAACGGCCTCTGTAGAAGCCATGCTGCTCATCTATTATGTAATTCTTAAACGTGTAAAATAATTCATCTGTTAAGATTGATTCCAACAGCTTAGGAATTGCTGATAGCATAGAAATGCCTCGATAATTTTTTATGTCAGATTTATCCCCTGACTTAAAAATTGGAACCAATTTAGAATATTTCCATCTGGACGGGACATATCCTCTGTCGAATGATCTCTGGAAAATTGTGCACAGTGGTGCAGATAAAGCAGGGCACTTCTTGAGAAGGATAGGTGGTATTCCATCTGGACCAGAACCTTTGGAAGGATCGAGATCCAACATTTTCTTCTTTATTTTATCTTCTTTAAAGATGTGAAATGAGAGATAGGAACCAAATTTGACATAGACATGTTGCGCCACTGCCCTTGCTGCTGATATTAATTGAGGTTTAAGATAGCAATAAAATAAGTTATTAGTTTTATTATATTATTCTAAATCTTTTGATATTACGTTAAATCATAAAGTATTCCTGTCAATCGGTAATTCTGATGTAAGTACCTAATAACTATATTTAATTATTTTTAATAGATCTCAAAGAGTACAAATAGATGAAAACAAGTTACACGTCACTTATTCAAAAAGTGCAAAATTCTTGTAGCCGACTCTATTTTATGGCATTAGAGGTAGGCAAAGAGTTTCGTACAAAAATTAGAAGACCATTAGTTGACTGCAAAAAAGGCACTTCTCTTTTTTGCCAGCTTTTGTAATTGAATGTATTAGAGGGGGGCGAACAAGTTGTAAGTTGTGGTGTGTCATGGCGGTGGGAGCCATCGTGTGATCTGTTCAATTCAAAGTTGCACCTCGATGCATTACTTACCCTTAGTTAAGAGTCATGTAAACATTTTCATATACCCCTTTTAGATCTATTTTAAGAAACAGGCCTCTTTTCGGCAGGTTGCAAATATATCAACCCTTTCGCAGACATAAAAAATACCCGCATTATCATCTTAGGTTTAGAAAAACCGTAGTTAAGCTATATCTATAATTTCGTTGAAAAAGTCAATAACCGGTCTTGTGACCAGCATATCTACCCTCGAAGTAGCAAATTTAGACGACAGAAAATACCCGCAGATATTTTTTTTTATTGTTCTCGAGGTCTGGACGCATATATTTTATTCCGGGCAAAAAAAAATTAAAATCCATCGAAAAAGGGGGAGGATTTAACTACCATATCAAATAACACAATAATATATATTGTTATCCCACATAAAACTAATTTATTATGGGAATGATTTAATGAGGGACTAATTTTATGTTGGATTAATTTTATGTGGGATTGTTTTAATGAGGGATCGGTTTTATGTAAAATATATTTTATGTGAGATATATTTACTTTACTTTGAATTGCTCATACCGCCGAGACATGGTGCGACCAACCAGAAAGAGCGGCAAAAAAGCGACGTGCCACTTTTTGCAATCAGCTGAGAGACTAAAAAAAAGGAGTGCATCTCAGTTCAAAACATTTGAATTAAATGTCGTCGTTCCAAAAGGCAATATTACTGTCGTCTTCACTTATTAAAAATATTGTCGTTATAAGATATGTGTAGGTAAGGTACTACTTACTACAAAAGCACGCGCTTGACAGAAATGGGCCCCGTCCTTGTATTGCTTGGATATCCATATTTGGTAGGTGGCTCTCGGAATTAGTTTACAAAACCTCCTACTCCGAATACACACCCTTGGGATAATCGTGCGTTCATTCATTCAAGTTATCATGAATCAGTTGTGACCACGCGCTAAGAGGATATTCAGATATTGTTTCACGCAATTATGAAACTCAATAGGCTTTTGTGACTTTCATGTTCACTTTAAATATTTAATATTCAACGAGCAATTAATTATATACCGTCAACGAAGAAAATATAATATCAATAGAAAATAAATTTGTGCAAAAATATTTTTTTTTTACTTTTGAACATTGCCAGTAGATTTCCCAAAAAAAATGGTTTCTTGTTGCAATTTGATAAAATCAGTGGTACAGGAAAAATAAGAAATTTTATATTGCGCTTTCGCCATTTTTTATAATTTTAAAACGAGTCCATATATGATATTTTTTTCATGGTAATTATGATACAGGGTGTCACAAAAAGTCAAAAATGGATCATTACAATAGTTATTTATGTACCAAGATTCGTAATTATAATTTACGAGTAGAGGACACATTTTACAAACCGAAGTCTAAAAAATAAAGTTTTAAGAAAAACATCAAAAGTCAAACGAGAAACGAGCAAAATATCTAAAAATGTTGCTCATGTTCTGTATTCATCGAAGAACTCTGATTATATTTTTTCCTTTTTTCTGAAATACATGCAAAATATTGAAGAAAGCAATAAATAACATGCTAAATTCAAATCACATGGCTATTTGGCAACATCTAACTACTACCTTCATTTAGGATACGGAACCGTGTGTCTAGATAACACTTTATAGGAGTGAGTGGTTTTGAGAAGAAAAATTTACACTGAGAAGTCTGAAAAAATGTTTGTGCTTCATTGGTGCCAGAAAAAATCAAAAGAATGATATGATTTATCTTCAAAATTCAAAGACTCTGGTGCACATCAAAGAATCTCAGCATTGTGAATGAAACAGCTCTTCTGGCTTACTTACTAAAATAATCTGAGCGCTTAAAAAGCCACACAAATTTGTGGTGTGCCCACTCTATGCTTAAAACAACATTACCTATAAATGATAACATCGACATTCCAAATTTTTGAAGTTAAGATCTTTTTGAAAAGAAAAAACGATGGATACAGACCAAAAAAAGCAAAAATATTTTAAATAATGGAAATTTTTGAAATGCGACACTCGACGAGAAATATTATTTGTTGATGGTGATAAATAGATATACCTATTATTTTTGTTTAATTATAATCATTTTTAGAGATTCTATTTTTTAGACATTTCCTACGTATTCCCTGGAGATTGCCGCAAAAAGATACAGTCGTTATTGTGATAAAAATATGTTCTACTTCTGCCGTTCATCCTGCACATTTACATTTATTATTAATTCGAATTAAATTTTTTGTAGAATTTTGTATTTCTCTACTTTAAATAAGTACAAAACTAATCACTTGTTTGATTTGAACTAAGTCAAAATAATATTTCTTTCCTTCCCAAAAGCCGTAAATTAAACTCTCTTGACATTGAGAAACGTCAAAAAAAGAAGTTTCAAAGTTGATACAAAAAGTGTTTATAGTCTTTTGAAGTTAAAAATAAATTTTTCCAATAACTCTAGAGCTATTAAACAATTTATTATAAAAACAGATATCTTCTTATGAAAATAAGAGCAACTTATGAGGTCATGATTCACTAGATCCCTAAACATATATACTTCAGATAATCTTGTGTTACCATTGGATTAACACATAAATTTTGTTTTTTTGACGACTACATAAGTTACTAAAAAGAAACACTTAAATGCTTTGCATTTAAAAAAATTAAATTATCTAGTTACTTACAAAACCTAAATCTTGCAATCCGACAAAATATGTGGTTTCTACAAGATGGCGCTTCAGTACATTAGAATGACCAAGATAATAATTTTTCTGGCCAGTATCCTGGACATTGGATGGAATAGTCCCTGATACACCTATTTTTAGACCACCTAGAGGCCCAGACCTTAACTCTCTTGACTTTAGTTGGTTTTATGAAAGAAAACGTTTCCTCAGTAGAAATAATAGACGAACAACAAATTCATTAAAGAATAGAATCACTGAAGCAACAAATAAATTTAAGAAGAAACCATTTATCTTCTAAAATATTAGATGTTCTATGTTAAAATGGGGCAGAATGTTCAAACAAGTAAACGGAGGTCATTTTGAACATTTGTGACAAATATTATCTTAGTAGGCAGTGTCGGCTCGTGGGTTGGTTCACAGTGACAGAACATAGGTATCAGTACAGATGTATGAAAAAACTTTCAGTGTTTTAGAAAGTTTATAATATACCTTTCTAAAACACTGACAGTTTTTTACCTATATCTGTACCAGGATCTATATTCTGCTACTGTGAACCCCCAAAATTTTGGTTACGAACCGCCCCTGTTAGTAGGTATTTATTTTTGATAAAAAATTACACATTTTATTACTGAAATATATTTTACAAAAACAATAATCAGTAAATTTGGTTGTTAAGAGAATGACATAGTCAGTAATGCACCCGAGGGTGAATACCTAAGAAATACTACAATAATAGAATAGGAGCTCTAATAAAATTAAGGGCCAATGAATCTGGTGTTTTAAGTCTTCTGTTTTGTAGAGGAATCAGGAGATTACTGGCTAGTTTCTTTGGATGATCGTCTCGGTAGCCAATGTGTTGAATGACCAGTATTCATTTACTGGCCTTTTAGTGGTTTAGCGATCACAAATCACAGACCAAACCATGTACATTTTTATTAAATCATTCGTTGAAAGGTTTGATGGGTGTCATATTAGCAGTAATTTCTGTTGATACGGCATCCAATTACAGTCGGCTTCAACATACATTTGTAGATAAGCAGTTTATTGTCCGAATTGAGATGTGAGTTTAGCAAATGAGCTGCAAGAGTTTTGACATAAGAAATTCTAAGGTACATTCTGTTAATTTACGACGACGTCACGCGTCGGCTTTATCGCCTGAAAACGACTCGTCGCTGTTGTCAATTCGGATTCAGGGGGACTAAAACATATAGGGTATCCAATTATTAAATTATAAGTAGAACGTGGAACAGCTTAAGGGGGAGGGGCTCAAATATTTAAAGGTGGCTCATATTAAGTATTATTATCTACTATAATAACGTAGATTGGTATAAATAAGAGTGGAGCATTCGATCTCAGCTAAACGTTCTTCTAACAACGCGATGAATTAGGAGAGGACATTATATTTTTCTACGTCCCATGCTAATAACGATAAAAATTATAGTGAAAATAGCGATGATTTAAAAAACATTGGTTTTCGAAAAACTATAACTTAGGACCAAAAAAAAAGTTTAATACTGAACGTGTTAAACAAGAATACCATATTTCTGAAGTATACATAAATTTGGGGTGGATCTAGGAGATCATAACTCCCAAAAAATTTGAATGGGCTGCATTGTTATAATTTTAAAAGGTTATAACTTTTTTGTCTCAATTTTGTAGGTACGCAAAGCCTAATCAGCCTATTTTTGACTCCAGAATGTCTGGTATTATTTTTGTTAGACCCTTTAGTAATATCCCAAAAAATAGTTTTATTAAATCAAAAAATTCAATTTGTTTTTATTTTTAGTTTTAAGTATATCATTATGTTAAAATAATTAGTACTTACCAGAAAAGGAAAAATTGTTATAATCCACAGCTTGTAGAATGAGAGTAAATGACCTCTGAAAAAGAAAGAAAAACCAATTTAGAATACCTATATATTAACCATTTACTAATTAACTGAAATTACGTCTTGCTTAAATCTATACATTTTTAAAAGAAAGTTAAATTCTCCCTTAGACCATTTTTTTCCGACATTTTTAGTGACATTTAACTATCATATAAAGGTCACTTTTACTGCCAAGGCATTTAATAATAGTTTATAATACAAAGGACAAAACAATAATTGTGGATTTCATTTAGAGGCGTCTGTAATTATCGCATACATGAATCGTATAATCTGTCTTTGTCGATCATAGAGACATTTTTGCCTTTATCACTTACTACTTACAACACTGCCAATTAACTTCATATTCATAAAAAATACAATAATTTATTACTCTTTATAGGGTACTTATAATATATTTTAAATTATGAGAATATAAATTCCCTATAGTGGAATTAAAAATGTTATCTGGGGCTCTTAAAATAAAAAAAAACTTGCAGATAACTTCTACAGATAAAGTAGAATTCTAATTTACAATTCCTAAGAACAACAATCATTGCCAGGTTAAATGTTTTTTAATCAGAAGTTCAGCAGGCGCCTGCATTAACAATATCTTTACCAGTAAAAAAACTCTATTGCAGCGATAATGGCAACCTCGCAACAAACTGGTAAGACGAGTCGGTTCATCGTATATATATGATAAAAGCTCTTCTTCGTCTGTGGCGGTCAATAGCCTACTTCATGCAATAAACACTATGAACAGGTGCAAATGTTTAGCTCTGGGTCATATGAACATAAATCGATGGTTTTCGTTCTTGATACTTTAAGAATAATTGTCGCCAAATAAACATTCACTTGCTCGGAAACTACCTGCCTACCTACCTGTTATGCTAAACAGTGTACCTGTTCATACTTCATACCCATTATGTAATAATCTTTAAGAAATCTATGTATGGTGGTGAACATACAAACAGGAAGGAAATTGATATGTATAAAAGAAATGTAGGTGGAATTATCAGATGTTAATGTTGTAAAATTAAAACTTTCGATGTGAACATTTTCGTTATTTCTTAAAGTTTTAAATAGGTGTACAGTGTGACCTAACAATAAGATTCTCAGACAATTTTGTTTGTTATTAAAGTTGGTGTTTTGTAGCTTTGCATGAAAGTTTTTTGAGATAGAATAAGGAGGAGACTATGACGATATTAACCCTAGAATACTGGACTGTGTTAAATAAACGTTAATATTGGACTATCGTATTTTTTACGAAGAACGACAAATTTTGAAAAATAGCGTTTATTTAATAAAATACAAAGGTAATACTAAGGATTGTGCAGTATTAGACACATAAAACAACAGGCTTCAGGTAAAATTAATTTAATCTCTTTTACAGACATGGCATATTATATCACCCCGGTGTTCTTCACATATTGGTTGCTTGCACATATTTGAAGGCATTTTCGCAGACCATTTATAGCCATTCTTTTCTTTCAAAGAAGTTCTCTTAGGTTTTATTATGTATTGAGATAAGGACGCATCACTTGCTGATGCGATTGGAATTTCTTCATTTATTCCATCTATGGAACCATTATCTGAAGAATATTCTAGAAACTCTACATTGTCCCCCTTCGCTAGAACACTTTCGTCACCTGAAGACTCTTTAATTTTATATTCTACATTGTCCTTCTCCCATACACTACCGCTGTCTTCAAAAGAATCCAGCTCACTGTCTTCTCCACGCTATACGCTCCCCTTCAGCCTGTATATCTTTATCAGTTAAATTTTTTCTAGACATTTTTTGAAAAAAAGTGACTATAGTTATAATAAAGTTAAAAATAATAAAAAAAGTAACTTACCTTTCAAGGAAAAACACACTTTCTCTATGTTTTATAACCGATGAAAATTATCAGATGATAGGGCGAAAACTGTACTTGACTACTGGACTTTTGTAAAATTTACGACGCTTTGGCAAACTACAACAATTAGGGATAAGTCATCGACTTCTGCACATACCACCTGTTAGGCAATGACTAAACAAGAAGATACTGAGAGGCGCAGGGCGATACATGACCCAGAAGTAAAAAAAAATTGACATAGACTGAGACGCGTAGTAAAATTTATGAATGTCCAGTATTCTAGGGTTAAAAGTGTCCACCTTTGAATTATTACACTTCTACGTAATGTGTCAAACTCGAGTTAGTGGAGCTAGTCAGTATTCGTGAGAATAAATGCTTCATTTAAATAATATAGAAAAACATTTCCGTTCCGTCCATCTTCAAATATAAAATTACTGACAGCAAATAAATCAAAGTACGACTCTAAGTCGCCATTTTGATTACACTTTTACATCACTCTTGTCCCCGCGTCCATCTGTCATATCGCAAAATAGTCGTCTCCACTTCATTCTATCTCAATAATTCCGCGTCAGCCTTTGGTCAAATATGATTCCGTGGTATTTGGCTGTAAATACCTTTTTTTTTATAAACGGTACAACTGTTTTTTTTTTCTGGGCTTGTCTGACTTAGTATGCGACAACACTGAAGCCTAATGGCATATTAATTCATATTACCCACTCTGTCACCTTAGTCCCTTGTACAAGTCTTTGACAGGGTATTTTCTATGGGCTCTTGGATCAACCTGTCGTGCTCTAAAAAGTGCCTGTCTTTTGCGATCCAATTCCTCACAGTTGCACAATATATGTTCGGCTGTTTCTGGTTCCTTGTGACAGAGTCGACACAATAGGTCTCCATTATACACTTCTATTTTGTTCAGTTGTCCCTTTACTAGGGCATGACCAGTCAAGAGTCCCGTTATTGTTTTTAACTGGTTCTTATTCATGGAGAGTATTCTCCTGTTCTTTTTTAACATAATCTTCCTATATAGGTCTTCCCATGTGCTTGTTTTGGGACATTCTCCCAATAGTTGTGTTTTTCCGAACACAGTCATTTATGAAACCTCGAACTGTACTTTTTGGTACTCCAAGGTTTAAATTTGGTTCCGGTATATCTTCTGACTGTCTTTGAGAGTTCGTTAGCCTTTTCATTGCTCAAGATCCTTTAGTGACCTGGCACCCAAATAAGTTTTACTCTATTTCGGTCTGCCAGTATTGCCAGTTGTTGCCAGTTGATGCAATCCCATACTAGTCTCGACGTCACTTTCTGACTTGATATGGTCGTAAAGGCCGCCTGGCTATCTGACATTATTTGGATCTGCTTATATTCGATAGCTCTCCTATTGTTTGTTCTTAGACTAAAATATTGTATAGATAAGACTGGTGTTTGGGTTTTTGGAGAATAATCTAGCCCCAGTGCCTTCCGCAGTCCTTGACCCGTCTGTGTACCAGGTATGTTTCTGTCATTGGGCACTGGTTTTCCTCCGTTCTATTTGGTATTAAAACCTTGACTGGAGTGTAAAGTTTGGTAATGTGACCTATTCTCATGTCTAGCACGTCCCCTATCACTAACCTTGTGATACTTATGTGACCTGAGACCTATTTAATGAAACTACTTTGCAATTCTGCAAATTTACGAGTACAAAATATTTGTGTTTCATAAAACAACATCGCGCATTATTATTAATTTAGATTATTATATTTTCATTTTCAATTTTCAAATTACTTTTTAATTCATCAAATTTGTTTTTTATGAAACATAAATTTAGTAAAATATGCAAAGTGAAAAGTTGCAAAGTAGTTTCATGAAATAGACCCCTCTGGTCTAATGTTTAGATTTCCCAAAATTGTAAGGCGTAATCTTACCTCTCCTTGTATCACTAAATGAAGTAGTGGCAAGCCTATTAGTGCTTCCATTGCTACTCTCGGGGTTGTTCTCATTGCCCCCGTTATTTCAAGACAGCATAATGTTGATTTCTTGCTTAGTCTCGTTATTGCTGTTCTTTGTTGTGTTTTTGGCCACCACACCAAAGGTGCGTATATTATTATTGGTCTTACCATTATATTGTATGTCCAGTATACCATCTTGGTTTCAGTCCCCAATTTTTTTCCAAAGGAGCGTCTTGCCATCACTAGTTATGTCTCCGCCGTTCTTATTGTTCTTTCCAAATGTTGGGAACTGGTAAATTTCGAGTCAATTGTAACTCCGAGATACTTTACCTCCCTCTTTAGTTTGACGTTTTCACCTCGGAGGTTTAACGGTTCTAGTCCCTCTAACTTTCTTTTGCGCGTGAATGCAATTATGGTAGATTTGTTGGGACTAATTTTTGGTCCTTCCGTTTCCATCTATTTTTTTTACTATGTTTAGAGCCTCTTGCGTACGGTCTCTAACTGTAGTGTTGTATTTATCATGTGCCAAGATCACAAGATCATCGGCATATCCCTGGGTTTTATGTCCATTATTTATGAGAATCTTAAGCAGTACATCATTGATCAGTACTCCCCTTGCAACCTGAGCTGCTATCGCCTTTCCCATGATGGTTGCATGTATTATTTTTCCTCTTATCATAGAGTCTATCCAGGTAACACATGTGTCCTCGATTCTTCTATGTTTCACAGTTCTGATGATAGAGTCGACGGAGGTATTGTCAAATGATCCCTCGATATCGAAGAAAGCTCCTAACATTATATACTTGTACAACTGTGCCTGCAAATCGTCTAATGGCGATAATTGCTAGGTTTTCCGCTTATTATAGGCACTGGCAGCCTTCTTTGAAAATGTTTTAAGTAGGTCATCCACTAGAATTGACCACGGCATTGACGATAGTATTTCTCATTCTGGGCAACCCTGTGTAACTTTTGCCTTTCCTAGAGTGGATAAACTGGTCCTATTTTCTAGGATAGCACTAATCCATTGGTATATTACTAGGATGTTTTTTTGTTTTAGTGCCTTCGTTATTGACCTGGTTAAGGCATCATTGAAAGCTACTTCGATATCTAAGAAAGTGGCTATTGCGATTTTTTTGTCATCTATCAACGTCCAACGATAAGTCATCTGACTTTTCTGGTTGGTATGCATATTGATTGGCATGTAGCGGATTTATTTCTAATATCTCGTCTGTAGA